TGAGGGATTCCACTGGAATCCTGAAAGGAAGTAAAGGATTTGTCGGTCTTCTTAGGGAGAAAAAGATGTAGGTAAGTTGTGTTACAATTGCATGCTAATACTGCACATTTTAATTCAAGTGATCTTTAATTTTTTTATTTAATGTATATCACAACTGTGGGTGCTGTGGAGTGGGAGATGAAAAGACGCTTGCCATAAAGTTTCTGAGTGATTCTAAAAGTGTGTTGCTCAAGAAACTTGTATTCAGTGGATATCAATATTTCCACGGCTTGTAGCTCAAAAGTCAAAGCTAAAGTGCCTTCACAAGCGAAAAAAATCAATGATAGCAAAAGAGGTCAGAACAGAAATCCATGGGCAATGATTACATAAGGTATTGTTGCACTTGTACAACAGCAGCTTGCTGAAGTTCAGGATTTTGTTTGGACCAACAAATGTTCAGTTTGTTGTTTTGAGTCAGAGAGTAAGAGGAGCTAAGATGGAGTAATAATCAAGCCTACAGGCAAACCTGACCTAAGCTGCTGGTAGTAGAGTCCACGCTGGCATGTAGAGAGATGGAGCATGGTCCACAGGTGTGAGGCGGCAGCCTTTTTAGTGCTGACCACATCACAACAAACTGACCTTTTCTGTTCCCATACAAGCAGCCTGAAGGAGGATTTTTAAACAAACCATATAATGCAAGAGCTATATCCACATCCTTGGCACAATCCAGTATGTTTTCAGTGGATGGACAAGAGTCTTCGTTTCATCTGACCATGACCTTCACCACAAACTGGTGCGGTCTCTACCTGAGTATGAAACCACCTGGATAAAGGTCAGTATTTCCAGGTTTGAGGCCATGGTTCTTAGCTTGATAACCAAACATGTTGCATGTTAACAACCGAAAGGACAGTGACCCCCAGGATCAGGTCTAAGTTACGTTTCACCTTTGCATCTAGATTAGACCAAAAGAACGAAGTCACTTATACTTCACTCCATAAAGTAGCTGGTCTCATCCTTGAAGAGGCTTCTTTGCACTGAAAGGTGTCAGCTGAGATGATTCAGGCAATCTTGGAGGTTTCAGAGGCATGCCAACTGAGAGGAGAACCGGAAGAGCTGGCTGGGCAGCTCATCTTATCTGGCTTCTGAACTTATGATTAAATAAATAGATGCCTTCCAATTAGGAGAAAGCATTGGGCAAATATAGGAAAACAACATTTCTGCACCTCAAAAGGTTAAAGCTGTGTTTGATGTTTTGCTTAATTCAGTTCAATTCTATTTTATTTATATAAAATCGCCTCAAGATGCTTATTATTGTAAGGTAAAGACCCTACAATAATACAGAGAAAACCCAACAATCAGACGACCCTCAATGAGCAAACACTTCAACGACAGTGGGAAGGGAAAACTCCCTTTTAGCAGGAAGAAACCTCAGGGAGGGGCAGCTATGTGCCATAACTGGTTGAGGGTGGGGGGATTAATAAGACAATTAATGCAAAAGACATGTTGGTTTGACCTCTACAGATATCAACAGCAATTTCTAACTTCGCTAATGGACGTAGGTTTGGGGTATTAAACAAAGAATTCGATCCTAGATACAAACTGCATAAATGAGCTTCTACTGAAAGATGCCTGCGTTCTGCCTAAAAGGTATAATGAGGATCTCGATCACTTGGAGGGTGCTCAGGGTAGATATGCCACGCCTCTGCATTGAACAGAGCCAAAAGAGATCATTTGGGTGTTTGACATAGGTGCATGCTCTTAAGTTTTCAGCTGGAAGCTTAATTTTAGTTATGCTTCCCTTTGTATCTAACTCTGTCGTCAGCTAGAAACATTATTTGAAAATCTTAGAATGCTACTGAGCTCAAAGCATGGATTAATTGTCAATGAATTTTCTTTCTACTGAAAAATAAAAGAAGCAGTCAGTTTACAGGAGCGAAACATGTGACAGCCCCGTTACTCCATTTTCTCTGTCAACGTCCCAACAGACCTTTGGTCGTCTCACAGCAATGTTCATGGATTTACTTCCAGCCTCTTAACTCACTTGGCTCACATCTCCAGTTCGCTGTGAACACTGCAGGCTGCATATCTGCTGACAGATTTCCGTCCGTTCTGGTCACCGGTGTCCTTTAACGGTGGCTTGTTTTTATCCAGTAGCCCCTTGGAGGTTTGCGCTCCGTCCTCACTGATGACCGCCGCAGCCAATATTGCAATAGACATTTTATCAAGTTTACGGATGAGGTGTCATATGGCTTTCTTTGCTCGAGGGAGGAAATGGACACAGTGATGTAGTGGATGGCTACGTCT